AAAAAAAAATTAAAATTAAAATTAAAAAATAAAGCAAGATTAGTTTCTATTTTTTTGCCAAGTTTTGAACATAAATTATAATCCACAGGAAGAAGAGGTTATTTTCAAATAGTCAGGCCTTTCTTATAGAATATTACTATACAGATGCTCCTCAACTTATGATGGGACTGTGTCCCGATAAACCCATCGTAAATGGAAAATATTGTAGATTGAAAAATTTAACACCTCTTATCAACAGGGTACCTGAATGAAACGTAATTGTACGCCTAACCATTAACTGTAACCCACAAAACCATAATAAAAAATATTGATTATGAAAAAAAATAATAAAAAAAGAAAAACTTACAATATTTTTCATTTACAATGGGTTTATTTGGATGTAACACCACTGTAAATAGAGGAGTGTACAGAATCCTATCACTTTTGCACCCTCGTTAAGTCGAAACATGGTGAGTCAGGGACTATGGGAACCTGCCCATGAAAAAGGAAACTTTATGATCTAGAACTTTAAAAATCAATAAAATTTTGTCTTTGTTTTTATTTTTGTTTCCTGCTTACTTTTAGTGGCATCTATAGTTTTAGAATTGCACTAGGAAATATAGACAAAGAAAGAAAAAACTCTGATAACAATTGGAAGGAGTGAGATTTTAGACAATGAAACTAGTTATTCAGCCACTACAATTCATTCCCATGGGACCAAGTAACAGTTAGTTCAACTGTGGTGAAGATACAAATGTTAGGCCAAATACAAGAGGCATTTAATTTTACATGACAAACTTGTAATTGCACGGCATGACATTTTTCTTCAAGGCACTTACCACAATTTGTAATTACACATTTATTTGTGTATATATTTGCATTTTATCTGTCTTCGTCCCTGAGAATGTAAATCTCATGAGAGACGGGAGTTTATCTGTCTTGTTCATAGTTTTATATTCATCTCCTCACAAATATAAAATGTGTATTCAGCTCCTCACTCAATATGCAATTTTTAAATGACTGGCAAAAGACTCAGTGTAAAAGGGGAAGAAGAGGAATCAAAACCAATGCTGGCTCTTTGGAGAAATGGCTGGTTCAGGTATGGGTCAGAGAAAGCAAAAGATGAAAGATCATCTTGCTGTGACTGAAATAAGAAAGTGATTAAAGACAAATTGAGACATGGCAAAGCAATTTGAAGGAGCTCCCTCTGGCTACATTAGGAAGGAAATTTTTTCAAAGAGCGTAGCAAATAAATATAGAAAGCATGATAGACTTTTGCAAAATCATCATTTTCAACCACTAATACAATCATTTGTTCCTATAAGCACTATCAATGGATTAAAAAATCATGAGTAAAAGGTTATTGGGAACCTGGATATCAGAGTAGCACCCCATAGATTACCTATAACTTACATAGGAAAAAAAATGAGCCTTTACAATGCAGAAATCTGGCAGACACCACTTTAAACAAGGCATCAAACTCACATCCTATAATGAAACAAACTGATATGTACTTCTTGCTGTGTCACAGAAAAAAAAAATCAACGATGTAGTATTCCACCAAAAATAATTAACTTGCATTTAATTATAAGGGAAATTTCGGATGAATCTTAATTGTAGAACATTTTTCAAAATAACTGGCCTGAACATTTAAAAAACATCAATGTCATGAAAGACTAAATAAACAAAAAAGATAAAACTTATTCTAGGCCAAAGGAAAATAAAGAGACATGATAACAAAATGGGTTGAGAAATTAAAAAACAAAACAAAACGAGCTATAATGAACATTTCTGTGACAACTGAAGAAATCTGAATAAGGAGGTTGTATATTAACATAGTATTATATTAATGTTAAATTTCTTGAGTTAAATTTCCTGAGTGGAGAGAATGGAATTATGATATGTAGGAGAATGCCCTTGTTCTTAGGAGACAGATGCTTGAAGAATTTAGTGATGAGAGTCATGGTGAATGCAACTTTCAAAATTGCAGAAAAGAAAATAGAAAAAGATAAAGTAAGGCATGAATAGTTGATGAATCTAGGTGAAGCATATATGAGTGTTTATCATTCTTGTTCAACTTTTCTTTGGTTTTTAACTTTTTAAAATAAAACATCAGGAAAAATTTTTAAATAGCAACACTTTTAAAATAAATTCTGTGTCTACATATCTGAGAAAATAGTTGTGAAGAAATCGAGAAGGGAGAAAGTATTCTGAAGGAAAAATGAGTTAATCTTGAGACACCATGAGTATGAGAGAAGAACCAGTGGGAACCCTCCATAGATACTGATTCTACAGAGATTCCTTTATTCTGTATTGTGCTCACTTTGGGGGTACAGTGAGGAAAGCAAAACAAAATAAACCACAGCATCAAAATCAGAGGGCATGGCCAGGTGCAGTGGTTCACACCTTCTATCCCAGAGTTTTGGGAGACTGAAGCGGAAGATTGCTTGAGCCCAGGAGTAAGAGACCAGCCTGGACAACACTGAGAGACCTCCTCTGTACAAAAAATTTAAGAATTAACTGCGCATGGTGGTGTGCGCCTATAGTCCCAACTACTCAGGATACTGAGGCAAAAGGATCACCTGAGCCCAGGAGGTCAAGGCCACTGCCCTCCAGCCCGGGCAACAGAATGAGACCCTGATTCCATCCATCCATCAATCAACCAATCAATAGAAAATAAAAACAAATCAGAGGAGGTCATTGTTCTAAAAAAATTTCATGCTGATGGGAAAAACAGTCAACTAGCAAAGCTTCTGAAAGACTACAGATTGTTAAAAATGTAACATGTGACAAAAAATAATTAGTAAGATACAAAATTGGATCTTGAGTGAAGGGATTAAGGTAGAGAGTTATGTATTTATAGATAATTGTTTAAAATTAGAGTTTTTAAAAAATTATGGAATTCAAAAACTTTCACCGTTTGAAAACTTTATATATTTTTGGAAAAACTTTCACCATTTGAAAATTTGATATATTTTTAAACTTACTTTTTTCTCCCCAAAAACTTGCTGTTTAACAATGTTTCTTTATTATACAAATGCAAACTGACAGGCATGGTTCTATACAGCACTAAGAAATTGCAGCATTCATGAGCTGTGGGGCCACATTCATTTTACATGCCAAACTTGTAAAGTATGTAATCTTCTTTTAAGTTATCACAATTTGTAATTATATACTTATTTGTGTGCATTTTTTAGCCATTCCAGGCCCAGGGTCTTTCTCTGTAAAATGAGTACGTTGAGCTCCATCTCTAATTTCCTTTTAGTTCAAAGCAACTGGGTTCTGACGAGAATGCACAGAGTAAATTATACCAGGATAGCAATTTCTCTTATGAGAAGAGCCCACTTCCCCTCTTACCTGGTGACAATCTGAAATATAATTGTGAGTGCCAGACCAGTAATAGACAGTGTACATCCAATGACGGATAAGTAATCAAGTGATTTAGGATACTGATAATTCTTTTTGAAAGCCTGAAAAATAAATTGACTCATATTTTAAAATAATCATTCCTGAAATGTCAATGAATGCCAACATCACAAGAAGTTACACTGGTCAAAATAACACGATAGTTGCCTGATATGTCTACTTTTTAAAAATGTTTTCATATATTCTTTAATAAATTAAATTAGCCCCTTATCTTTAAGCAGTTTACTTGAAATGGAGGCTTGAGAACAACTACCTAATTCAGCTGGGAAAAGTGTATAGTCGTCCCTTGGTGTTCACGGGGAGTTGGTTCCAGGACTGTCTGCAGCTACCAGTTTACACATACTCAAGTCTTGTGGTCAGTCCTGCAGGACCTGCAGACATGAAAAGCTGGCCTCCATATATTGGCTTTGCATCTTGCTAAGGCTGAATTTTCCATCCACTTTTTGTTCTAGATGAGGAACCTGAAATGTGAGGGCCCACTGCTTATCTTGAAAAAAATTTGTGTAAAAGTGGATCCACCCAGTTCAGACCCACACTGTTCAAGGGTCAGAATGTATACTTTTCCATGATGTCTAAGATCAAAATTGCTTGAAGTAGATCTAAAGTGGTTAAGTTGCTTCACTTATCCATTACTTTTTTTTTTTTTTTAAGCAGGGTTTATTGAGAGGACAGAAAAGCTCCCACAGTGGGAGGGGAACCAAAGGGGTTGCCCTGCCTTTTTTTTTTTTAAGCTGGGGTTTCACTCTGTTGCTCAGGCTGGAGTGCAGTGGCACAATCATGGCTCACCACAGCCTTGATCTCCTGAGTTCAGGAGATCCTTCCTCCTCTACTCCCCAAGTAGCTGGGACTACAGGCATGCACCACCATGCTGGCTAATTTTTTACTTTTTTTTTGTAGAGACAAGGTCTCCCTATGTTGCCCAGGCTGGTCTCGAGCTCCCAGGCTCCAGCAATCCTCCTGCCTCCACCTTCTAAAGTGCTAGGATTACAAGCATGAGCCACTGCACTCAGCCCATCACATTATTTTTTACGTGTAACTGTCATCCAAGCATATCTAAGCTGAGGCACTAAAGGTAAAGTGGCAGAAATGTTTTCATTAACATAGAGAAATGTTCACAATCTTGTTAACTTTTCAAAAAGGAGGTCCCTTTTTTTGTGTAGTACATCTATACCCATCCCAGTATGTTTGTATATATGCATAAAAAAGTATATTCCACAGGATTATGTACTCTTAGAAATCAGGTAAGGTAATAATAGTGATCACCAGGTAGGTAGGACATACATAATTATTTTTGCTTGTCTATACTTTCTGATTTCTTAAATTGTAAAAAGTAGAAAAGCAATGTAAGTATATCTGCATCATAAAAAGCACATTATCCTCTCTACTGCAAGCTACCCCACACCATACCTTACCTCTTAAAAGCCCATCTTTTTCCCAGAGGTGACCTTCTTTTATATGTTTAAAAATACTATCTATGTCACTTACACCAATATATAGGGGTTTATGCTTGAATTGCCATTTTAATTTTTCATAAATATTTTCCAGATCAGTATATTTCTGTTTAGTAGATAAATGCTCATACTTTATGCAATGAGCATGTACTGCTTTTATAGAAGTAAAACAAAAATAAAATATATATTTAAAAAATAATAAAACAAAAACATCATGTAATTTCTTCTGTGTTGTATACTAAGTAAATGCACAAAAAACCACAAGATTCATAGATCTTCAGATATCAGAAATAATCTATTCATTCAGAGCCTATCAGGTCTTACTTTATATACAATCCTAATGAGCCACTTTTTTGAATATTGCAACCCAAAACTAATTACAAATTTGGGTAAGTAGGCACTGAAGCAGATTCAGATACTAGTGAGAAGAAATAGCAGAAAGCCTCACCTCAAAAAAAAAGAGGAAAGATAACTGTGACAAAGCAGTCTGCATCATTTAATATGTACAGCAACCTGAGCTTTACACAGCTGATCAATGATGCTATGACTTTAAGATATCAGAAAAAAAAGCCGTGCTCGGTGGCTCAGCCTGTAATCCCGCGCCTTTGAGAGGCTGAAGTGAGTGGATTGCCTGAGCCCGTGGTTTCAAGACCTGCCTGGGCAGCGAGACCTCGTCTCTACAATAAATCAAAAAATCAACCGGGCGTGGTAGCGCATGCCTGTAATTCCAGCTACTTGGAAGGCTGAGGCGGAAGGATCGCCGGAGCCCAGCAGGTCGAGGCTGCGGTGGCCGGGAGCGGCCACTGCACTCCAGTCTGGGCGACAGAGTGAGACTCCAACTCAAAAAAAAAAAAAAAAAATCAGAAAAAGCTAAAGGTTGATCTGTACTGTTTTCTGGTTGAGAAAGCAAGTCTCCCTGTAATGTAAGTTAGAAAAGAAATAATCCAAATCAGTTAGAATAAGAGAAGTTTGATGATTAAAATGAGAAAACTACAGCTATCTCAAAAAAAGTTAAAAAGCAAGTTTCTTTGCTTAGATAGTGCATGCTGTATGTTCTACTGATCTCCACTGGTTTCCCAAATATGGCTCTATCATAGCTATTAAGAAATGAAAACATCTGCTTCTCTTTGGGAGATTCACAGGATTAACAGCTCCTTAATAAGGGGAAGACACTCTACATAACTCCCCATTCCATTATGTATAAGAAACATTCTATCAAGTTCATAAGATAACATTTTTTTGTTTCACTAGAATAATAAGCTCCTGACAATGGAACAGAAAGAAGCCCCTCTTCTTAAAAGGACTGACCCAAGAACTTTCAGAGAAGCAAAACACTGCTTCGTACCAGAGCTAAGTGTCATTAGTTACTTGTGCATTATAGTTTGGGAGGTAAAAGAATTAAGGAAGACATAGAGTAACTATAGGAACAAACTGGATGAATTCAAGAACTTTTCCTTTTATATCTTCTGGCAAAAACTTAGTAACTTGGATGATTGCAATGGGAAAAGTTTTGGGTAACTGAATTAAACTGTTCACATATGGCTAAGTATGTATTGAAAGTCTTCAACACATAGCTATACAGCATTACCTCTGGTTATAATAACTATGTGCCTCAGAACACATGAGTTGAACGGAGTCTGTCAACTTCTCTTTCACACATGGGCCCCCTTCCCATTATTAAAAGCACAGTACTGACCTCTCTAGCCCAAGTTCATTTTGCAAAAAACTGTACTGGCCTCTATCAGCTCTTCCCCTTTTAAACCTATCACTCCATTTCCTGTTTGTCTATTTAATCTGAGTCGAGAATCTATGTAAGCTAAACTCCAAGTAAGCACACACCAGAATTGTATATAAGGAAGATTCTTGTTTAGAAAGAGATTGCCATGTACATCCTTACCATTAACACAGCAAAATTAGTAGTGTGGTTGCAGCGGCAGCCCAGAAATCCATTAGCCCCCTTGTCTTTGTGACAGCCATATGTGTCCCAATCCTTTGTTGATAAATTCCAATACACACAGGCATAAGAATGGAGTTGGAATTTTTCTTGGTTGTACTGTGAATTGATAAGACCACTATGATTACTGATTTTTTAATGCTTAATTGGGTAAAAAAAAAAATCAGATAGGATGAGGTAGTCATTTGAGAAATCAATTAAATATATACTAAGCATTGGCATCTTCAGTATGGGTGAAGAAGGAGAAAAGGGGTATAAAATTTAAATTAGTTAACTTTTCATTTAGTTAGACAAAAGATATGGGTGGGAGGAAATTTTAAATGAATACGGAATCTTTCAAGGAGTTTGTCTGTGAATATCTTTTATCCAAACTATCCCCATTTTTGTAATCAAGAGTGGTCTGGATTTTTTCCATTCCTGTTCTTGGAAAAACTCACCTCTGGACTAAAGACCATTGCAACATTAACACGCTGATTTTGCTTATTTTCATCAGTTTTGCTTGAGATAATTTTTTGACTAAAATCTGATTTAGCTGTAAAAGTTTTTGATTGGAAAAGCTTGTTGTTTTGATACACTACAAAGCCACATGCCGTGATTTTATCTGTGGGGAGAAAAGACATTAAAATTCATAAATGAATGGAAGAGTACACAAGAAGCAACATCCCATGTCATTGTTGAACTGCATGGCTGCTCAGTATTTGAGTAAAATACAGTAAACACTCATTGCTGGCTGAAACTTGACTTATTGTAATATGTAATTAACACATAAAACGCATGGTTGGCTATTCCATCTACATTAATTTCTTTTCTGAGGTTCAGTTTCTTTACCTTCTATATGGCAACAATAATTTCTGCCTATTCCACTTGAAGGAGGCATCTCAAGGATCTCATGTATAAAGCAAACATCTTGCTTCCTATTCAGCAAGGCGGGGTGAACATGATACGTACCTAGCCCCAGCCCATATTGCTTCCTCCACTGAGAAGGCATTGAACAAGAAGCAGCAAAGGGTGAATATCAGGATAGCTGGGCATAGAGAAGTGCCCTGTGAGATCTGTCTCCTAGTTAAAGAGACTGAGTAAGGACCAGTCGCATTAAACCACAGAGCAAAGTGCTCAAGTGATTCTTCCAATGGAGTTTTCAACTCACCTCTTGAGCTATTGGTTTCTGTTATATCATGACAATCACGGGCTTTTCCCAAGGTTGGAAGGCTATTGTGAAGCATTTCTTCCAGACATTGGAAAAAGTGGTCAACTGTTCGTCAGAAATGCTGGGAGATCGAGGCTGCTGCATAGGGCTTTGCACTGGGCCTGGCAGTAGCAGTGGTCAATCAGAACCCCTCAAGGAATGCCTCTTAACCAGTTTATACAATGGTTGCCCACTTTTAAAATAGCAGAAGAACCAACAATTAGTTACATTTTAACTGAATTCATTCCCAGTCTATTGAATCATGTGACTTGAAGGAGACAGGCAAGGCCCCGACAGCCCCCAAATTGCTTCCCTCCCTCTGCCTGCCATGTTGTTCTAGTCTCCACCTGGAAAGAAAGGGGGTCTCTGACTTTTGTTCAAGGCACATTGACTTCACCAAACTGTTCCTTGTGGACACTAGATGATAAGGTTAACCCTAAAAATGCAGTAAGACGTCTTTCTATTCTTTTTGTTTTTTTAAATAAAAGAATGACATGCTTGATGCAAAAATTCAAATCCATAGAAGTATACTAATTTCAAAAATGAAAGTCTCGCTCACTTCTCTCAATTCTACAATATTTTAGTCCTTTTTTAGAAAGTCATCATTTTCACTGATATTCAGATTTATTCAAAGAAATTACATTTACTATTATCTTGAATTTTTTAAAAAAAATCTTCATATGTCTAGATATGCCTCATTGATTTTTTTATTTATATTCCCTCTCATTTTTTCTTGATCAAATTTGTCAAAAGCTTGCGTATTTCATTTGTCTTTTTATGAAATCAATTTTTCATTTTGTCAATCAAATCTAGCATTTGTTAATATCTATCTGTATTCATTTCTATCCTTATATTTATTAATTCCTTCTGTCTATATTTCTTTATCTTTATTTTATTTTTATTCTTCTTTAGCTGAATGCTTAGATTTTTTAAAAAATCCTTTATAGTTTTATAAATATATTGAAAGATAATATTTTTCTTCAAATGCCTCTTTGCTTATATCCTATAGGTTTTGATATTTGGGGTTCTCATTGCCATTCATTTTTAAATAATTTGTAATCTACACTTTAATTTTTTCTCTAATAATGCTTTTTAAAAAAATTCAAATTGGTAGAATGTTTCCCATTTTATCCAACGCTACCTCATGGTACCTTTCTAGTTTTACTGCACTGTTTACTATGTTCTGTATAACTTTTATTTTACAAGATATATACGCTTTTCTTTGTGGTCTAATAAATGGTCAGCTTTTGACATATTCCATGGATATTTAAAATGAATTTTCATTACCTGTTATCTCCTTGCAAACAAAATTACACACACAGGCAAATATATATAAAGACCAAGTTTATTCATTATTTTGGACTGGGAAGACACAAGGCCCAGGGCTTCAGGTGCAGCTGTGATATTTTTTTCACTCTCTTTTATTTAAAGAAGCCTGAAGCAAATATAGAAAAATTTGGTATCTGTTTACCTTACTGGCAGGTACATTCGGTGTTGCTTACATTGTTTTCTGTACTTTTCTTTCTGCATGAAATATTTTCAGATGGAAAGAAAAAATACAAAAGAACATAAAAGACTGAAATTTAGTCTCTACCCTCGAAGCATGTGGCCAAAGTGAATGAGCAAACTTCCACAAAGTGTCAGTTCCAAGAATAATTTTCTTTTTTTCTTTTTCAGTTTTATTATGAATCTATTCTTTCTAAAATATACACTTTCTGGCATTGGAGTTTTTATTCGTGGAGAGAGGTGTGCTTAATTTGCTTATTTTTTTAGACTTTGAAAAATACAACCATTTGAAGTTATATGTAAGAATTTCTGAAAGGTCATATGCAAGATGCCAGGGAGCCCATGGTGAGAATCATACAGAGGCGATAACCTCAAATCTATACCACTAGATGACCACTATGCCAAATATATAAACCATTTCAAGAGCAGGTCTGCAGGATGAGTCTGACCCTGAGAGTGTCATGCCACAGTAAACATGGGCAGAGCTTGTAACCGAACATTTTTTTAAATATGTAAGTATAAAACAGAACCTCTTTACCAAGAATTCTGCACAAACACTTATTTGTGTGCATGGACCAAACATTTCAATTCTGCTACCCTCCAAAAGGTTTTTGAAAAGAAAAAAAAAATAATCATTTCTGTGACCTAGAGTTAAAATTGAGATTGAGATAGAGTTGAGATTGAGTAGAGTTGAGATTACCATAACATGTCAGTGCTCAAAATACTCAAATGCAAATTATTCTGTATGCAACTTAGTAGATATTGTTTCTCCTTCAGCAGATTTTAAGTGATTAATTCCACAAATTTGAGTCTTCTTTTTTTTAATGTAACAAAGTTTGAGACCTACGTTTTGCGGTATTAAGCAAGATCTGAAGTTCAGTCTGTGCATCTGGATCAAGGCCGTCCCTGTTTATTTGTATATATGTTGATTCAGGAAGTAGAGAATTGCTAAATCCTATGAGAAGAGGAAAAACAGAATTTTAAAAGTCTTCATTTTCATGATTAGAGCGTTATTCTTCATTGGTAGCAGAATGCTCTTTGCTATTACAAGCAAGGGAGACAAATAGCTCACCTTTCTTCACAGAGAAGAGAATATTTTCAGGCACCACAGTACCTTCTGAAGAAAAACTAGCTGACTGGACTGCTATGTTAGGTTGCACCACTTTCTCATTGCCCAAGGACAAGGAAAAATTCTCCATTTGCTCAATAAGCCTGCATAGAATAAAACATAACAACTTAGTAGTCTAGAGACTTTGTCATAGAATTAGAAGTATGTGTTCTCTCCCATACTACAGCAGAAAGGCATGAACACAGAACTCATGTGGTGTGTGGTCACAACAGCATTGACAATCATCTAAGAATAATTAGTTCTCTTCGTCACGTCTTGTTTTGTTATATATACTTTATTTTTTTAAGAAAAAAAGGGGGAGGGCTGGGTGTAGTGGCTCATGTCTATAATCTCAGCACTTTGGTAGGCTGAGGTGAGAGGACTGCCTGAGCCCACAGGTTCAAGACCAGCCTGGGCAACTTGGCAAAACCTTGTCTCTACAATAAATCAAAAAATTAGCCAGGTGTAGTGGCCCGTGCCTGTAGTTACAGCTACCTGGAAGGCTGAGGCAGAAGGATCACCTGAGCCTAGCAGGATGAGGCTGCGGTGGCTATGATCATGCCACTGCTCTCCAGCCTGGGTGACAGAGTGAGACTCCAACTCAACGGACAAACAAAAAAGTTATGCTGGACTGTCCTCACTGAAGGCTACCTTGGAGATAGATGCCAAAAAGTTGGAAATCAAGATTGAGATTTCCTGATAGAAATGGTCTTTATCAGGAGCATAGTTCAGTGGTAGAGCCTTTAACTGCAGAAACAGTATTTATTGAGATGCTCTTCACTAAAAAGAATGGTGCTGCCACCCACACTCAACCTGGCATGCACTTCTAGTTGTTTCTCCAACGGTGAGAATAGATTTCCATTTATTCAATTCCCTCCTCTCACTCAAACCCCTTAGGGTACAAAGCATGTCTTATAAATTGTTGGTTCCTGAGGTGATGGAAGAGTAGATCTCTGAGTTCATTGCCTCAGCTATGCACTAATCACTGCAGGTTTTCACAATGTTCTTCTCTACTTTAGCTAAGTTCAAAGATAGATTATATGGAAGGCGGAGGGAGTGGGGGCAACCTGTCAATTTGGTGTTCTCCAAAGAAAAGTCATAGGATCTTTCCTTTTTTCTTGTTTCCTATAGAAATATTTGAACTACTTCAGTGCTAAACAAAATAAAATCTATATTTTTAAGGTAATTTGTCTAGTTTTTCCAGAAATGAAAGGATTTCATCAAAATGTAATTGTTCTATATTCCAAATCTTTATTTCTACCAATAAACAATCTTTTCCTCCAAGTGAGATAAAGAGAGACAACATTTAAAATAATTAAGGACTGCTTTATAAAAAGAACGTAATCATCATTTGTATGAAATCATTTAAGTCAGCTCCTCTGTTTCAAATGTTTTCCTTTCAAAAAGCCAGTTCTGAGTTTTCAGAAATCCACACTATGTACTTCTGGCATGCCAAAGCTGCTTTCAACAGAACAAAACTCTAGTCTGCTAAGAGCGTCATTCAATGAAACAGTGTCCGCTAAGTACCTACTAAGAAGTTAGCACCCTGTGAAACACTTGGGGATACCAGGAGCTGCTCCCTCAGGCATTCACTAAGGGGAAAGCAATACTGAATATGTGGGGGTGTTTTCCATGTCTACAGTCAATTTTACAGTCAATTTTAAAAGCTCTAAGCACAGCTACTTCTGAGACTATCTTTTTTTTTTTTTCCCATATGAGACTTCCCTTCTCGTGTTATAACTGACTAGATTAGAGATAGGGCCAGTCCCAGAGTAACCAGTCCAAGGGCTGGCCATCAACCTGGCACAAATGACTCAAAAGATGTCATGTCAGATTCTTTGGCAGAAATTTTTCAGTTAGTGAAAAAATTAGTTATCCAGAAAGCTTAGAGGGAACCTGAGAGGTCCTTATATCATTGAAAGGACAAATTCAAGTTAAAAATAAAAGACTAATTATTTGTGTTAAAAATAAGAGAGGACCCAAAAACTCCTCTACTAAGACCTACAAAGCTTCTTTGGGTCTTCAGTCATCTCCCTGCTCCAAGGTCTATAAGGTTGTAAAAGGAAATGAGATTTCAGGACTCTTTTAATGCATTATGCCAAGGGGCAAGTTAAGCCCTGGAGACTGAGTCATGAAGCATGTTTGCAACTTTTGCTTCTTAGATTACAGATTCACTATTTTCCTTATTGTTCTTGTTCTATAAATGACTAGGAGAGAGCAGAGACCAAACTTCCCCTCCTTCTATCACTGATCTTTGTTATTAATTAATTGCTACTTTATTGTCCTATACCTAACTTAGACCAGATGGCGCAAAAGACCCCATGATTGCTTCATCTTCAGCGTAGAGTGTTAAACATGCCTTTCCCAAAAGAAAAAGCCCACCTCAACTAATAAGATTATTGTTAACTAAGCATTAAGTCTTAGTATAGAAAGGTGTTGGAATTCTATTAAGCCTCCCTAAACCCTGTCTTATAAACAATCCCAAATTTCTACACTTCAAAACCCTGACTTCCATTCTTCTGGAATCTGTGCTTCCCCAGCAGCTGTTCTCAAGCTTTGAGCTTAAATAAGCTCTCTTTAAGTTAGACTCTGACTCTGATTATTTTAGGTTGACAAGGCCCAGCTATGTGACATTTCTGATCTTGGGTTCCCATGAGATCCTATGTGCCTCTTTACAACAAATCTACTGCTGGGCTCGATGGCTCAGCCTATAATTCCAGCACTTTGGGAGGCCAAGGAGAGTGGATTGCCTGAGCCCACAGGTTCAAGACCAGCCTGGGCAACTTTGCAAGACCTCGTCTCTACAATACATCAAAAATTAGCCGGTCGTGTTAGTGCACGCCTGCAATTCCAGCTGCTTAGAAGGCTGAGGCAGAAGGATCGCCAGAGCCAGCGGGCTGCACTCCAGCAGGCTGCACTCCAGCCTGGGTGACAGAGTGAGACTCCAATTCAAAAACAAGCAAAAAAAAAAAAACTGTTTGGATAAGATCATTTTAGGGGGTGTCTTGTAACCAAAGCAGCTAGCTGCAACAGACATACAAACAGAAAAGTGAAGCATAAATATACAAGGTAGTCAGTGTTAGGGAGGCAGTTTCGCGTTCTCAAGGTCAGGCAAACCAGGGCAACTGTGACCTTCAACATGATAGCAAAGTTCTGAGGTTATAGATCAGGCTTTGCAGCCAGTGTTCAAAATGGAGAAATTAAGTCCTCAACTCATTGATTGTACTATGATCCCCCCCCCACTGGCAGAAACCCTATCCGCAGCTCCAGAACACTTCCACTTGAACATCAACCTCTTCCCAGTGTAAAATAAGAGAATGGGTGCGTCACTGTGACATCTTGAGATGGCTGAAGCTGGGGTGGTGTCTTTCCTCCTTGTCACTCTCCTCCCTTTTATTCTCACCCTCTCTGCTTCTCCCTATAAGTGTAGAAGGGGAATTCAGCAGCTGAGGAGCACAAAGAGGAAATTGTAAATGAGAGAAGGAAGAAGTCAAAATGGGACAGATGACTAAGGCCTGATGTGTGTCAGGACACCCTGGACTTGGCCTAGGTTGAGAGAATGGAGTTTGGAAAGCAAGGGTTGCCCCGAGCAATTATTATTTTCCTTCTCTGGGGAGAGAGGAGATGGAAAGTGACCTCTGTGGGCAGCCCATCAAGAGTATTCCCCTGAGGAGAGCTAAGGAGTTGACGACCTGACCTCAGAGTTACAGGCAGAGGAGATAGCTTTGTTTAAGTGAATGAAGGAAGGATCTGAGTACACAGAAGCTTGTTCCAGAGATCACATGGTAAAGAGTAAACTGATAGACTACGACTAGAAAATAAATAGACCAACGCTGAGCTCGGTGGCATGTGCCTATAGTTCCAGTGATTCAGGAGGCTAAGATGGGAGTATTGCTTAAGCCCAGGTGTTCAAGATCAGCCTGGACAACATACCGAGACCCATTTCTACAAAAAAAAAGAAGAAGAAGAAGAAGAAAATGAGTAATTAGATAAATAAATGGGCTAGAAATTCGGAGTGGGAGGAAGAAAAGACAGAGTGTATTTATACCATTTTATAGTTCAGTGTGTTCTATATTTTAAATTTATATTTATTGTCTGATCACTTCCCTTAAAAACATTTGCATATTACACACAAATCACACAAAATTGTTTTTTCCTTTATATCTTAAGCCAGTAAGTTCATTATTGTTTATTGTTAAGAAAATGCTCCCCTCTGCTTTGTGACCTGTGATGTTCTCAGCCAAATCTCAAAATCTAACTTTCCTCAACTTTCTCACCAAAAATATCAAATCCTCCCTTTTCCTCCAGCAAGATTTTGCAAACACACAGCTTTCAGCTCTGAAGAAAGCCCACTCTGGCTCTCCATCTCCCTGTTCACTGAACATAGACTCTGGAATCCCTGGTCACTTCCTTCTCCTACTTCAAGAAAAATGAGAGGTATCCACACTCCTCATAACAAGGGCCCAGACTCCTATTGAAATCTGAAATCACAGAGAATACCAGTAAAATTGTTCACACAACCTCTACTACCACATCTCAGCATTATAATCTTTTAAATGCTCTGTTTTGTATCTTTCTGCTTTTTCTGTATCTTTGTACTTTTTTGAAGGTTCAACACTACATTGGTATGGGTTGCAATCATTTGAAGACTGAGAACTATTTCTAGGAATTTTTCCTAAGGAAATAATGGGTCGTACAAAGATCATGTACAAGAATGCTGACTGCTCACAATATCAAAAAACCTTGAGCAATCTAAATGTCCAATAATAGAGTAGAGAACTGTTTAAATAAAGGTTTACTCATGCTATGCAGTCATCTAAAATTATGATGTAGGTGCATAGATATTTGTGTCAAAGATATATTAAAAAGAGTTTGTAAGGGATTAAGTGACAAAATCAAGGTATAAATGAAGATAGTATGCAATTTATATAAACATACATATACACACAGAGGAAAAAACCTGGAATATATACCAATAGATTAGTAAAGGTAGGATAATTTTTAAAAATTTTCTAATCTGCATTCTTTCTTATTTTTTTAACAATGATCATGCATGTTTATTTAAATTTAAAATGGGCTTTTAAAACTGTATGTAAAGTGTAAATACAGTGAATCTCAGTGAAGGGTCTCTGTGAATAAAGTACATGAGTTTCAACACAAATATACAACCAAGAGTATTCCAGAACATAGGAGACAAGAAAAAAGGAAGCAAGGAAAGTTGGATTTTTTTTTTTCAGTGTAGTGTTGGGAAAGTCAAAAAGTTTTATCAGAATACACCAGGAACCGGTCACGGTGGCTCACACTTGCAATCCCAGTACTTTGGAAGGCCAAGGCAGGAGGATTGCTTGAACCCAGGAGTTCAAGATCACCCTAGGCAACAGAGTGAGACCTTGTCTCTACAAAAACAGAAAAAAAATCAAAAGATTATCTGGGCATGGAGGTACACACCTATAGTCCCAGCTACTTGGGAGGCTGAGGCAGAAGGACAAACCATCTGAGCCCAGAAGTTCATGGCTGCAGTGAGTCATAATCATGCCACTGCACTACAGCCTGGGTGACAGAGTGAGACTTCAACTCAAAAACAATACCCAAAAAACAAAACAATACACCAGGGTCTTGGAAAGAGAGCTGAGGTATGGATTAGAAGCTGGCATTGTGTCCTGAAAAGTGAGGTTATTCTTTGCAGCTCTGTGTCTTGACAAAGGAGTTGGAAGTTCTGTCACACATGGAGGTTGCCCATTGGCCATGCCAAACTAAGGCAAGGAAAAAAAGTTCTTGTTTAAATCAGCCTAGTTACTCTCTAACTCCCAGGCCTAACACAGACCACTCCATCTAGCAACTAAAGGTCAGAAAGCCAAGGCTTCTGTCTGCATTCCAGAGGAACCAGCCAGTTACTGCGTCCATGAGAGAAATAAGGACGCCTCTGCTAACGCTCTAACCTCGGAAAATAAAAAGCGTTTTGCCAAGTTTCCTTCCCAAATTGAAATTGTGCTTACGTTGTAAAGGCATCATTATCAGTATTAGCAGCAGCTTCTTGAAAAACATCTTCACTGGCATCTAGAAGTTGACTCACTGTTGTTATAGCAACTTTTTTTGCCTGTCAAGGAGAAGACACTGATCATCATAGAAGACACGTCATACATGATCATCACAATCATCATCATGAAATTTTATAGTAGCAAGTGGCACCACTGGCATGATAATGCAGGCACAAGTGTTCTCCAAAATTAAAGGTTTAGTTTTTAATCCACAGAACGTAGCAGAGAGACTCAAAATAAGACAAAGTGAAAATAGAAACTAAGATAACAAATTAGGAAGCTTACATCTCTGAACTTGACCTCATTGCAAGATCTTTCACAGAATTTCCAACACACCCCCCAAAAACACAAAAACAGATGCTGGGATACAAAAGCACAGACAAAATAAGAAGAGTTCAGTGCTCTGACTGTTAAATATTACAGCTCAAAATACTTAGCATAATTTAATTAAACTTAGTATAACCATTCGATTGATTCTAGTCTTCTTACAATCAAAAAATCAGGAGTATATCAGAGAGATGATCTCTTGGCATTTGAGTGCTTTTTAACTGTCCTCTTTGGAGGTATTTGACGTCCTTGGCCTTTACTAGCTGATCCCTCCATAAATTCTGCATTCAGTTGTCAATATTTTTCTTTTTCAATTCTATTTTTATTAAGTTATGACTTGAATCCCACCTACTTTCTAAAGGACCTATGATAATATAAAATATCTTTTTTTTTTTTGAAATACGACATTAAAAGGGGATGGAAAAAGGAGTGACAATTTTCAGGATATGCTGACTTTCAACTGGTACGCACTGGGTCAGTCCATAACTGGTGACTTATAGCCCTAGTTGATCAGTATTCAAGTCACACCATTTGGCAAATGTTGAGTATACTACTTGCTTTCAGTCACCAGAATTTATCAGGTTATAATATCAGAAATGTAAACTAGGCTTAAAGTTCTCAGAATGACAAGACCAAATGCAAATTTCCTTAACAGAAAGGGATCGGTTTAGAGTAGCATGTCCCAAAGTAAATTTCTTGAAACACTGTTACTCGGAATAGAATAGGAATGATGGTGAGGTCAAATGCAGTTGTTAAGCATATTAATAAGGTGAAATAGACTTATTCATTCCAGGACCTTCTGGAAGATTTAAATTTAAATCTTAAGATGATAATGATCATTGCGAATATCCAAAAAGAAAATATTTGGACAAGAAGCCCTTTTTCATTTCTTTGAGTATCTCCCAGAAAGAGTGCTCTGTGTAATGATTACAAGTAACCTAAACCATGCTCAAATCTATATCATGGAATAAAAAGTAGAGTTGGAGATGTCTTTCTTTCTTTCCCAATCCCCTCCTAACAAAAAAATAAAAGTTCTGTGAATTTTACCTCAGATGAAGCATTTCTAGATGTGTTGAAGATCTGTCCAATCACTGTTGCAGCAGAAGTGATGTTCTCAGCAGTCAATTTATTAGCATCAGATGTTAAAATCTGGGTTTCATTAGAAATACTATCAAGTCTTGCTGAGTCACTCTCCAGCTGTTTAAAAATTTAAAAACAGCAACAACAAAACTTAGCTTTATACAACGATGTCTAAGCGCTCTGCAGATAAATAAGCTGGAATTTAACTGCACCTCTGTCTCCTGAACATCTTTTCCGTCCAGTTTTTCACATTTGTTTCTTTCCTTGAGCAAAGGACAAAGTATACACAGGCCAGTGATTTTCCCAGCCTTTCCTGTCAGGACTGTCTGTCAGGACTGAGTCACTACAACGGCTGCCTTAGCTGGATTGAATCTACTCAAATGTACCCATGGGTTCACATTGGTTCACTGTTATTTACAAAATCCGTGGTAAGATACACAAAGAAATGGGGAGGAAAAGGTTGGAAATTTATATAGGAATTTTATGCTGTTGAATCTAATAATTCAAAAAAAATGTGGGTTGTATTTTATGTATCTTTTTCATTTCATTTCTCTAGTAAGTTTCTTTTATTGTATTTTACAAAATGACTGGTCTGCAGTGGGTTGGACTTTTTTTTTAACTGGCTTTGCAGCACAAACTGTCTGGGTAGCCCCAGGGCTCTGCGCTGTAAGTAAAGCATGTGAATTCATAGTACCATTAGTGCAGCTGCTATCAATGTACATGTATGGCCTAGCTTCCACTAGATGGCAGCATGATTTCAAAAATCAAACCAATATCACGTTATTCACACTTGGGGAAGAGTCAGAAACAATATCCAGTCAGTAGAGAGAAACATAATTCTCGCATTCCATAGCCAGGTCCTCGCTACATGCTAGGCTCCTTGATAGATGTTTGCAAGTGTTATTGCATTTAATAAGCAAAACAGCCTGGCGAGTTGAGCACTCTCATCCCATTTAAAGGCTCAGAGAGGTTAAGAAGCTCACCCAAGTCTCACACAACTTGGAAGTGGCAAAACCAAGCGTCAAACACTAGCTTGTCACACCCCAGAATGGGTAGTGTTTTCTCCCACCTGTGTGGTTGGCCCCACCTCTACACTCGACTCCCATTCCCACCCCACCCCCACTCTGTCCACCTGTGGTTAGGGAGCCAGTGTAATATAGTGTGGACTTTTTTTCTTTCCCTGAGTTGAAGCCTCATTCTGTCACTCAGGCTAGAGTGCAGTAGCACTCTTACAGCTACTGCAGCCTCGACCCTCTGGGCTCAGGCAATCTTTCTATTTCAGTCTTCCAAGTAGCTGGAACTACAGGCGCACACCACCATGCCTGGCAATTTTTTTTTTAACTTATTGTAGAGATAAGGTCCTGCCAAGTTGCCCAGGCTGGTCTTGAACCCCCGGGATCAGGCAATCCTCTCCCCTCCACCTCTCAAAGTGCTAGAATTACATGCATGAGCCACCACGCCCGGCAGTTGTGGTCTTTAAAATCAAGAACAGTTGGGAGGCTGAGGTGAGTGGATTGCCTGAGCCCGCCGGTTCAAGACCCGCCTGGGCAACTTGGTGAGACCTCATCTCTACAATAAATCAAAAATTAGCCAGGCGTGGTAGCTCCTGTAGTTCCAGCTACTTGGAAGGCTGAGGCGGAAGGATCGCCGGAGCCCAGCAGGTCGAGGCTGCGGTGGCCGGGAGCGGCCACTGCACTCCAGTCTGGGCGACAGAGTGAGATTCCAACTCAAAATAAAAAATAAAAAATAAAATAAAATCAAGAACAGCTCCATCACCTTGCAGCTGTGGTCACTTGGCAAAACACTTCAGCTCTCAGTCACATTTTCTTCATCTATGACTTGAGTTCATTAATACTTACCTGTGGTGCTTTAAGAACTTAATCTGATAAGCTAATAATCTATATAAAATATTTGGCACAGTATTTGGCATGTGGTAAATGCTCATCATTTAGTGTTATTAGCTATCATTATCTATAATATGGGAATAACTCTTAACTCACAGAGGCTTTATAAGGATTAAATAAGATGACATATACAGCATGCCCAGCACATATTAAAGACTGACATAAAGGTACATTCCTTCTTCCCCCCCTTGCTTGGTCCCTGGTGTTAGCTTCTCCATGCTTGTCACCCTTAGTCAAAATAATGTAATCTGCCTGAACAAATATCTGGTCAGATGTACTTCCCATTTCACCTGTCACAAATCTAGCCCTAGAACCAGCATCCAGGTTTAGAGCTTCCTGTCTCAAAGGGTCTTTGGTTATAGTTTGTATTCTCTTCTTTCTGATCCAGTAGAACATCAAAAGACCCTCCTTTGGTCTCGGATATCAGGGATCTATTGTCAGTCAAAAGTTCACTGCTCTACAAAGATGAGTCCATTGAAAATGTGCTATCGATTATCATTTGCCAAAACTTGCTCAACGAACATGTCCTTTTTCATAAATAGATGTCAACTTTAAAAAAATAAGAATGGTTTTAGTTACTAGTTTTTGTTATTTCTCATTTGAGACTTAGAAAGGATTTGATCTGACCATGAATTATCTGAAGAGCAGAGACTTTGCACAAGTCAGACTTTTTCCAGTTGCTCTTCAAATGGACATATGGCATACCTGATTTTCCAGGTCTTTCAGAGTTTCGTTGCAACGACTTTCTCTCACATCTTGTAACTGTATCTCTCCAGAAGAAGACAGATTGCATAGCCGGACTGCCATTGGATTGCCCACTTTAAAAAGAAAGAAAAAAAAAAGACAGTGTTTGCAAAGACAGTCACAGTAACCTCCAGCACCTATACACGTGTCCCTTCATAATGTGACCCTGCTGCTCCTCCCATGATGAAGTGGAGTCTGTTCCTTTACAGCATGAATCAGACTGTTCTGGAGACTCGCTTTGACCAATAGAATATGCCAGAAATGTGTGAAGTCCAGAGCCTAGGCCTCAAGAGCCCTTGAAATATTGGCCCTCCCCTTCTCGGAACACTGTCCTGAGACTGCCATGTAAGGAATCAGGTCTAACCCACAGGAGGATGGAAACTATGTGGAGGAGAATTGAGGCACTCCAACTAACGGCTGGCACCCATGGTCCAGACAAGGGATCAAGGTGTTTTGAACTTCCCAGTACAGCCACGCTGGCCAGTCACCAAACCGTGAGAAATCTAAATCATTATTGCTTTAGACTATAAATTTGGGATGGTCTGATACATACTATTTCAGAAAGGTACCACTTGTCTTGATTTTTTAATCTGGACTTCAAAAGACCAGTTCACTATTTCCTTTTTTTTTTTTTGAAGGAAGATTTACCTTTCAACAATTAGGGGCATAATGGCTTACAATTGGACACAATGGGGAAATACGAAGCTAAGAGACAAGAAATGATATGAAAAATTCCTTCTCAATATTGAATTGTGGACTGATCTTTCCTTCCTTCTGCAAATCCAGGTGATACCTGAAAAGCAGAGTTCTGCTATATTTCCAGCAGCTGTTAGATGTCTAGTTGCCTCTATAAATGCTTGCTGGGTTTATTTCCTGAGATTATCCCTTGAGCCTCCCTCCCTCACTGTCTTCATAGATCTAATACTTAAGTATTGCTGTAGATAAAATTATAATTTGAGAGACAGTTGAACAGTAGGTGAATTTTTCCATAGGACAAGCTTTGGGCAGCTACTTCTTGGCAATGACTACAAATAATGAAATTAAAGATTGCTTCAGCAACACATAAAGTAGAAGGTCAAAGTCACTCTTAATTTAAATGATGGCTCCACCTCTACTCCAAGGCATAATGAAAATTTCTAATATATATATATATACATACATATATATATATATCATATGCCAAATACATATTTTCCTCAATGTTACCTACAAGTACAAATATCCCTACTTAAAAATCATTGCATATTTTGATCATTTGTTACAGAAAATTAAATAGAAGTAATTCTTTTTTATTTGAAAATTGTATTTTTTATATAGGCAATGGGGTCTTGTTATGTTGTCCAGACTGGTCTCAAATTCCTGGCCTCAAGTAATCCTCTGCCTTGACCTCCCAAAGTGCTGGGATTACAGGTGTGAGCCACTGTGACTGGTCTAGAAGTAATTCTTAATATAAAATTAAAAGCAAATTTGCCAAGTTAGAATCTATATTTTTGAAAGTATATTATGGGTTTAATATTAAATTCAAAGGTAAATTTAATAAACTTGTTTTCATAGTAGATGGTCAGAAAAGAAAAATAACCAGTGAAAGATGTCGATTCTCTTGACCCCCCAAATTAATATATATTAAATAAGTGTGATGCCCCCTCATGTGTATATTTCTGACACTTTTAATCTTCCTAATTCAGAATGTTTTGTAAGTTGTCCCTGTTTTATAAATCACAGTGAGATATTTAAGACATACAAAACATAAAATTAAGACTATTGTATGCAGTATAGATTGGTATATGTAGCATGTATGGTAAGTACTAATATAGTTTCACCCTCTGAGTTCTTAATCAACAGGTCAAAAGGACCTTTGTAAAGAGCAGTATTGTGACTACCTGGGTAAGCATGATATTTGTGGGTAGAAGCAATTTGGATTGTACAATGGAATGCAGATAAAACATAATCTCTTAGAATAAATAAAGTAAGCTGGGCATGGTGAGTCATGCCTGTAATCCCAGCACTTTGGGAGGCAGGGGTGAGAGGATTGCCTGAGTCCAGGGGTTCGAGACCAGCCTGGGAAACTTGGTGAGTCCTCATCTCTACAATCAAAAAAACAAAAATTAACCAAGTGTGATGGTACACACCTGTGATTTCAGCTACTTAAGGTGGAAGGATCACCTGAGCCCAGCAGGTCAAGACTACAGTGGCCGTGAGTGTGCCACTGCACTCCAGCCTGGGCGACAGAGTGAGACTCTGACTCAAAAAATAAATAAATAAATAAGGTAAAGAAACACATAAAAAGTAATTCATGAAATTTAGTGTTTCGAAGAGTCGTTGACACACAAAAATGAAATATCTTATTAAAATGTGACATCCTGCCCAGGAGTATTACTGATATAGCAGTTTTATCAAACATTTTTGCAAATGATCTAGATTTGGCTGTATCCAGTTCTATAGCAAGAGAGAAATTACCTGCAGGAAGATGTGAAAGGTAGGAGGGTTAGTCAGATGACAGTCAATGCAAATAAGGGACAGGTAAAACATTTAGGGAAAATTATACAGGATAATAGGCTCTCGCTATCAGGAGGGGATCTATGAGTTTCTAAAAGCTATTCACAGAAGATAGAATTTAGTGTAGAAATATGTCATCAACCTGAGCCCGCAGGTTCGAGACCAGCCTGGGCAACTTGGCAAGACCTTGTCTCTACAATAAATAAAAAATAAGCCAGGCATGGTAGCACATGCCTGTAGTTGCAGCTACTTGGAAGGCTGAGGTGCAAGAATCTCCTGAGTCCAGCAGATCGACACTGGGGTGGCTGTGAGTGTGCCACTGCACTCCAGCCTGGGCAATGGAGAGAGACCCCAACTTAAAAAAAAAAAAAAAAAAAAATATATATATATATATATATATATATATATATATAATCAAAATCCTAGATGTTATTGGGGACCAAATTAGAAATAGAAAATACTATTTTTTCCTTTAACTCTTGAAATACCTCCACGCAAATAAGGTGGTCATGTTCAAGGAAGGTAGGTTAAAACTAGTTAATATTCCAAGATAGTAGCAAAAGTGATCAAGAAGATGGACTACCACCAATGAGCATACTTAACCATGTGTCCCTACCTAAAACGATGAGGTCGAAACGTGTATATAAGTATATGTTCATAACATAGACAAATTATAAAAGTGGTGACAAATTATGCAACTTAAAGAGCAAATGTTAACTCCACAAGATAGCATAAACTGGAAAAATAAACCAATTAGAGAAGGATTAAGAGGAATTTATAAACAACTAATCCATATTAAGGTTTTCAGGAAAATTAGGATCATGTGACATACCACCCTAAATTTTGAACACTAGTGTATGAAAGGGAGCCAGATCCTTCCACAAAAACCTTTCTTAGTTGGCACAGTGGCTTATGCCTGTAATCCCATCACTTTGAGAGGCGGAGGTGAAAGGATTGCCTCAGCCCAGGGGCTCAAGACCAGCCCAGACAACTTGGCAAGACATTGTCTCTACAATAAATCAAAAATTAGCTGAGCATGGTGGCGCATGACTGTAGTTCCAGTTACTTGAAAGGCTAAGGTGGAAGGATCACCTGAGCTCGGCAGCTCGAGGCCTCAGTGGCTTGAGCATGCCACTGCACTCCAGCCTGGGCAACAGAGTGAGACTCTAACTTAAAAAAAAATCTTTCTTGATGCCTCCTCCAGGGACCTAACACTAGTTGGAGGGATGAGAGGAATGACTCAGCATAACGATTCTTATGCCTAAACTGAGGAGATTTCGGAAAAACACATACCATTTGGAGTATCCTCACCGCATGTCTGCAAGGAAGGTCCATATCTGCCCACTGGAATTCTGCCAAAAGTATAATCCAGATAGGTACTACTTTCACAGAAATTAGCTGTAATTGAAAGAAAAAATATTTTTATTATAAATGTACTCTTCTTACCTTTTACACTCCATACTCAGATGTGCTTCATTGTCAAGGGCATATTTAGATTAGATTCTTGAATTGTAATGATCTGCTGCTTTTTTAAAATAAAATTTGACTGAAAATGTTTTTACAAATTACTTTTCTTTTTCAAATCTGAACCAGATAAAAGTCAAAGTTCAGAACCCATGCAGTGTAATTTGAAGGGTAATGGAATTATAAAACCCACTGGTATCCCAAGAACTTTATTTTCCTATCCAGTTACGTTACTGCCATTAGATGTTATTCTAGTGTCTAACTTGTATGTTAGATCATAGGATCCAGTTAAAATGTGCACAACATAAACCTGGGTAGAGATGGCATGTAAGCCCTAACACATCAGCAAGAATGGTGTATCAGATTAGTTGGAATTCTGAGAATTAAAAATATAGTGCCAAAAAACCAGGCATGTCTGATTCTAAAATCTTACTTGACTCCCATGAGTAAGAAACAAAAATGGCCACCTTGTTTTTCTCTGAGTCTCCTGTCTGACTAAATAAAGAGCGAGCTTTAGTGGGAGACAATGCATCCCACACCCAGACATGATAACTGCAACCAGCAGATAGACTGGGTGGTCAGAAGACACTGCAAACCTCAGGAAAATATTCGTGTGTTGTCATTTTTTATTTTCCTTTTGAGCTAACCAAGGAAGGATAATTTGAACACAATTTTTGTGCACTTAAAAATAGAGAAATGATTTCTAAAATTTTCCAGTTTTAAATTTTTTTAGCAAAACACAATGCCCAGAGTTAGTTCCTTCACCTAAAAATAAAAAGAAAGAAAAAAAAATAGAGAGCCTACAAAAGGCATCATAAGGATGTGGGTCAGAGCAAAAAGGCCAAAGTCATAAGGAGTATGGGAGATACTGACTAGAGTGTACATCTAAGGCTCTGAATCCTAAGCAGACAGCATGAAGTGCGCATAGTGTTGAGAAGCACATCACAAAAAAATGACCTTGAACTTTGATTCTGAGACACCAGTGATTGAAATCAAACCACTAAATAACAACTCTTCAAGGAAAAGGAAAACAAGACCAAAATTTAATATAAGTATATATTTAGGAAGATGCATCTTGATTTCACAAAAGTTAGGTATGTTAGGATGGTGATCTTCAAAATAAGGTAATAGGACATATTACCAATTGAAAGAACCTGAGAAAAACCTATCACCCTTTGCCCTGGATTAGACATTGTAGCCAGAAGGAAACATAACTGTGATTTGCAGAGAAACTTGAGGAAACAGAAAAGCATATTGAATTTACAGGTAAATATCCCAAGAAGAAAACTCAGCCTTTACTATTTGCTGATAAACACATTTCAAAGCCATCACCATTATGGCAACTATTTCTGTGATCATTAGTTAATGTTTCCAGAAGATTTTTTGCTGTTCTTTTTAACACGAGTCACCTAAACCTTTTACCCCAGTATTATCCCAAGTAATTTACCCTCTGTGCATCTCAGTCCTTTCCATTCTTCTGTGCAAATACATCTGCCATTTTCCCAGGTTCCACCATTCCTGCAGAACTTTGACATGTTTGATGTGGGAGAAAATGTTCCTAAAGAAACAATAAATGAGAGTAGTAAGGGAACTGGCTGATTAGTTTTTCCTTTCATACCTGTGTCCATTTAGTTTCTATATGTAAACCATCACTTTGAATATCATTTCTGAGAAATATTCTTTGTATTATCATCATCAACAGTGAGAATCTACACAGCATGCACAATGCTTATTATGTCTTATGGGTACCAAAAAAGCATACTTGAGGCCCAACACTTTGATCAAGATTAGAATCCCCTGAGTAAGAAGAGATTATAAAGATGGTGGATAGACAATGGATGATAGATATAGATAGATAGATTGATAGACAGATAGATTAAGTCGGCAGACTTATAAGTACAGTAACAACCCAGAGGAGGTAAGTTGAGGACAAAGGTAACCTAGCCAGGGAAGACTTTCCAGAAGAGGTGGTGTTTGAACTAGATCTTAAGATTAAATCAAGAAAACCCAGGCAAAAATGGATGACCCTGGTAGGCAAGATACAAAGTGCAAAAAAATCACCAAAATATGGAAAGTTCTGATGTGTCCAAGGAGTATAGAAGACTTTAACATTGGTTCTATGTGGAACAACCACAGGACATAGATTGGATTGTGAGGGACTTCCCAAGCCAAGAATATTTCATACAGAAAGAAATTTAGAGGGATCTTAAAACAAGGGAGTAGCACAATAATGAATGTTTTCTAGAAAGATGCCTCAAGCAGCATTGGAAATGGCTAAGGCTAGGAGGCTAGGAGAACCAGTTAAATGAGGAACAGAACTAAAGTAGTGACTCTAAGAAAGTTACGTGTCAGTAGATTCAGAAGGCAAACCTCAGAAAAGAATACTAGGATATAATAACTGTTATTTTGAATTAGAAATAGTGGTCAGAATTTCTCAAGTTTGATTAAGAACTTTAACTTATATATCCAACTGCTCAGAAAATCACAAGAAAAATAAATAAAAGGAAAATCACACATGGACACATTGTGGTCAAACTGCTAAAACTAAAAAATAAGGAGAAAATCTGAAAGCAACCAACAACCGACCAGATAGTTCTTCTGGTGAATTAGGAAAGAGATAATACCAATCTTATACAAACTCTTTCAGAAAGAAGGAAAAGGAAGAAAATTCCAAAATCATTTTATAATGCCAGATTAACCCTGATGTCAAAATCAGATAAAGGCATTACAAGAAAAGAAAATTGAAGGCCAATAAATTGCATTACACAGGTGAAAAAAATCCTTTAAAAATAGTAGCAAGTCAAATACCACAATATATAAAGCTAATAACACATCATGACCATGTGAGATTTATCCCAGGAATGCAAGGTTGGTTTAGCAATAGAAATCAATTAATTTAATTCACCATATAATGAATATGGGAGAAAAACTATATGGTTGTCCCAATAAATGCAGGGGCCAAAAAGCATCTGACACTTTTTAAAAACTCTCAGAAAACAAGGAATAAAAGCAAACTTCTTCTTCAAACTGATAGAAATCATCTATGAAAAATCTACCACTAATATAATACTTAATAGTGTAATAAATGCTTTCTCCCCCATGATTGGCAAGAAAAGGGTTCAATATAATTGCTGTAACCACTTCTACTCAACATTGTGCTGAAGATGCTAGCCATCCTGGAAAGAAATAAAAGGCATAAAGTTAAGGCAGAAGAAGATAGAACGATCTTTTGTTGCAGATGACATCATCAAATACATTGACAATGCTAAGGTGTCTCAAAAAAAGCTACTCATGATACAAAATAAATATATTTCCACATATTAGCAGCAAACAATTTGAATATAAAAGGATAAGATCATTAAGTTAGCATTAAAATTATGAAATTCTTAAAAATAAATTCAACAAAATATGTGCAAGACCTCATTGTTGAGAGAAAATGTAACAAGTTGATTTTAAAATTTTATGAAAATGCAGAAGATTTAGAAAAGTCAAAACAAATTTCTAAAAGAACAGAGTTGATGGTTCACTTTACTAATTTTATGACTTACTAAAAGCCATAGCAATGAAAACAGGATAGAATTAGCATACATGCAGATAAATACATCAGTGAAATTGAATAAAGAGTTTAGAAAAGGTAAAACATATAAGATCAGGTGACCTTTTTTTATAATATGCCAAGGCAATTTGATTGAGAAAGGAGGTATTGTTTCAACAAATGGTGCTAAACTAACTGAATAAACACATCACCCTCAAAACTCATTTGAGATGTACCATCGACCTAAAATTAAAAAGCTAAAACTATAAGTTTTCTCAAAGAAAACATAGGAGAATATATTTATAAGTTTGGAAAAGATGAAGATTTTTTTGCAAAAAAAAGGACCCCAAAAGTACTAAACATAAAAGAAAAAAATTATAAATTGGTCTTACTCAAAATTTAAAACTGCAGCTCATCAAAAGGCCATATTAAGAAAATAAAAATGGAAGCCAAGCCTCAGACTGGGAGGAATTATTTGCAATATATACATCTGACAAAGGAATTGTAGCTAAAAGTGTAAATTAGAAGTGTTACTCTAATTGTAGATTAGAATTGCAACTTGCAAATTGTAAAGAATACACGTCAACAATAAGAATACAAACATCCCAGTTTTTAAAATGAACCAAAGACTTGAACAGATACTTCATAAAAAGAAGATACAGGGAAGGACAATAAGCACATGAAAATGCTCAGCATTTTAGTCATCAGAGAAATGCAAATGAAAAAAGCCAGAGTGAAATACCATCTCACACCCCACTAGAATAGACAAATAGATCAATACAACAGAAAAGAGAGTTTATAAACAGACTGACACAAGTATAGTCAACTGATCTTTGACAAAGACACAAGAGAAATTCAATGAAGAAAGTCTTTTCAACAAATGTTGAACAACATTTACTGGAACAACTAGGCAACCACATGTCAAAAAAAAGAACCTAGACACTGACATATCTTTCATAAAAAGTATCTCAAACTGGATCACAGACCTAATGTAAAATGCAAAACTATACAACTTCTAGAAGATAACAGAAGAAAACCTGGGTGACCGTAAGTATAGCCACAAGTTTTTAAGATACAAGTATCAAGAGCATAAAAGGAAAAAATGTATGTTAAATTTTATTAGCGCTATTCTGAAATTATTTATTCTTCCCATCACATTGTATACCATTGATATATATAAAATAATCAGTATGAGCATTCACAGAGCTTTTTTCCTACTAGTTCAGTTAAAATGGTTATAGTTCTATTTAGATATTTTCTTTTCATTGGTGTAAATTTTGGCCATTTATATTTATTTAGAAAACTGCCATTTGACCTAAGTTTTTACATTATCTGATATAAAGTTTTCCATGGAATTTGCTTATGGTTTTGTTTAAATCCTACTTCTCTTTGTTGTAACATCTTTATTTTGAGGCATATTGCTTAATGATGCCTTTTTATCTTGATGATCTCGTAAGAGATTTATCTATTTAAATTCATCTTTTAAAAAAAATCTAGCTTTGGGAAGAACAAAATCATGTCCTTTGCAGCAACATGATGCAGCTGGAAACCATCATTCTAAGTGAACTATCACAGAAACAAAAAACTGATTACCACATGTTCTCACTCATACTTGGGGCCTGAACTCTGGGCACACAAGGAGCACAAAGGTGGGAACGACAGACACCGGGCACTGCTAATGAAGAGAGGGAGGGAGGGGGCATAAGGGGCACACAACCACCCACTGAGAACTATGTCCACTATCAGGGGAAAAGAGGCTCACTAGAAGCCCAAACCTCACCGGCACATAACCTACTTGTAGCGAATCCTCACATGAACCCCACAACTCTAAAATACAAAATAAAATTGACTGGGTGTGGTGGCTCAGCCTGTAATCCCAGCTCTTTCGAAGACGGAGACAAGAGGAGTGCCTGAGTCCAGGGGTTCGAGACAACCCTGGGCAAATTGGTGAGGTCTTGTCTCTACAATAAACCAAAAAATTAGCCAGGTGTAGTGGTGCATGCCTATAATTCCAGCTACTTGGAAGACTGAGATGGAAGGGTCACCCGAGTCCAGCAGGTCGAGGCTGTGGTGGCTGTGAGTGTGCCACTGCACTCCAGCCTGGATGACAGAGTGAGACTCCAACACACACGTGCGTGCGCACACACACACATAAAATCACTTCTACACTGTTGGTGGGAATGTAAACTAGTACGACCACTATGGAAAAGTTTGGCGATTCCTAAAAGATCTAAAATTTGACCTTCCGTATGACTCCGCAATCCCCTTATTGGGAATATACCCAGAGGAACTCAAATCACTCTATGAAAAAGATACCTGCACATGCATGTTTATTGAAGCATTATTTACAATAGCAAAAACAGGGAACCAACTGTGCTGCCCATTGAAAGATAACTGGATTTTTTAAAATGTGTTATATATATTCACAATGGAATATTATGCAGCCATCAAGGACAAAAGTATGAAATTCACAGCAACTTGGATGGACTTAGAGTCTATAATACTGAGTGATCTATCACAGAAACAAAGAACTGAGTACCGCATGCTCTCACTCACAAGCAGAACTTCAGCAATTATTATAATACTATAAGAAAGGGATTGGCAGTAGTTGGAAACTGCCAGGGGAGGGGAGGAGGCTGGGATTGGCAGTAGTGAGAAACTGCCAGGTTGGGGAGCACACCTCATCAACAAGGGTACCTGCAAAATGAACATTTGTATACCTAACCCTGAATTGTACCCTGCATCTTCAAAATTAAAAATTAAATAAAATTAACTAACTTTGGTTTTGTTGATCTTCATTCTTGTCTCTTTGGCTTTCATTTTATTAATTTTTTCTTATTTTTATTATTGCCAAACATACTTTCTCAGAATATGCTCTTTCCTTTTTTAACTTCTAAAGTTAGAATGCTTAGATTACTAATTTTTAATTTGTCACTTTTTAATACTTACCCAAAGCTATAAATGTCACTCTAATATATTTTTAGCTATGTTCATGTCCACAGTTGTGATACGGACTCGCTTCC